TGGCTCCTCTGAAATCCAGGGCTGTTTCCAAATCCACCTGCTCCCCTTTGTGCAACAGTCACTCTGCTCATTTAAAAGCACCCTCACGATTCATCGCCATCTGTGGCTTGAGAACCTCTGCACCTACTGCCTCGCCCTTTCTCAGGCCAGAACTCCAAAGTCATCCTGGAGGTGAAAAGCAGCACTTCCTCTGTGCTTCCCCTCAAGCTCCCTCTATCCTCACATGAAACACCAAGTGTGAAGAGGTCCTGGATTTCTTTACCTCAAAGATTGAAAACATCCTTTTGGCTGCATCCCCCTCTCCTGCCCCCCCCATGATCCCTTCCATTCCACCCAGATCATCCACCGCGGCTTCTGCCACTTCCCCCTTCTTATTTTCCTTTGATGTAGGGCCCTATCATGGAGGAAGATGTGATAGGGCCCTATATCAAATGCAAGGATTATTATTATATTACAGTGGAAGCCACTTAAGATGGACCCCAGTTAACCCTAGACGTTGGGTAAATCGGACAAAATGCCCTGCCCCTATTAATTCGGACAGAATGCCACACTGGTTGCAGCTGCGTCTATTCACGCTGTGTCTACAGGGACAGAGTTGGGAGGAGTCAAAATGCGATTGATTAACAGCGGACTCCAGCCATTCACAAGCAGTCAATCAGTGAGGGAGTGGGGGAATGGGGAGGAAAGAAACAAGGGAGAGAATGAGACGAGTCAAACCGCAGTTGATTGACAAGTCAGGAGCCACTTGTGGAGTGCCTGTCTATTCACAAGCAGCTCCAGGCTGTCATTCACTTCGGAGCCACTGCTAATTGGTCCCCTTCATGTCCAATGGGAAGAGCAAAGAGGGAGGGAGGAGTCACCGCCAATGCTCCTGCTGGCCAGCAAGAGGCGAGAACATCAGTTAGCCCCGGACGTCGCTTAAGTCGGACAAAATGGCCAGCCCCGATGTGTCCAGTGTAATTGGCTTCCACTTTATTATTAAAAATGCTTTTAGTGATAACTGCCTGTTTTACTTAATAAAACCGAGTTTACAAGTTTTTAATTATAATAATTCCTCCATTTGATATTGCATCTTTGCATGTCACTGAAACTCACAGAGTGCATGACAGGATTTATTGTGACCCTTATTTGCAGGAAAACACTCCAGCCAATTTGCCCATTTCAGGAACAAAAACAGAAGTCGCTGGGAACACTCAGCAGGTCAGGCAGCATCTATGGAGAAAGGAAAGTGAATCAATTTTTGGGGTCCATGACACTTTGTCAGAACGAAGGGTTCTGACGAAGGGTCGTAGACCTGAAACGTTGACTCACTTTCCTTTCTCCAAAGATGCTGCCTGACCTGCTGAGCGTTCCCAACGACTTCTGATTTTGTTCCAGATTTCCAGCTCTGCAGTATTTTGCATTTTGTTTGCCCACTTCAGTGTCCTACAAACAACTATGAAGTGAATGACCAATTTCCTCTGGAGAATTATTGGCCATGATACCAGGAGAGACTCCCTTTTGTTTTTGCATAGAGCCATGGGATCTTTATGTCCACCGCAACAGTCAGACAGGACCTCGGTTCAAGAACCCGAAGGATGATATCGCTTGACAGTGTAGCACTCCTCAGTGTCTGGCACACTAACTGGCTCTCGCAGTAACTACTTTCTTGGTGTTAAATTCCAATAGTTTGATCCTGATGGAATTTGGCACCGTGCAACATCCAGTGTACAAAAGAGGTCTGGTCACGTGACACAACCATGTTTCCAAGAGGTAAGAAATGCCCGAACAGTTCCTTGTTCTCCAACATTGGCATCTTTCCACTGCAGTAAGTCTACAAGCCAATTCAAAGTGAGGCTTTTTGAGTTTTGACCATAGGTGCTGATATATTAAGCTATTGTTTGAATTGTAGATGTGTTTGAATGCACTTAAGTAGTAGCAAATTCCTGTTCTAATGGAAAGAGAAATCTGTCCAATTCTGTACTTTGAGAGGCACTGTGCGGGGTACATGGTACAGTGTAAAACTAATGAAGAGCATTGCACTGAGTATTGCTGATGCTGTGGGTTGAAAGAGTTGGTATTGGAATAACTTCAGATATTATGGAAGGCATGCTTATTTTCATTCAAGTGCGTTTCTGCTGACTTCATGTCATTTAAAAGTACAGGTATCATGCGATCTTGGCATTTGGTTTCTTTTTAAGTAATGATATATGCCAAATGTGAACCTTGTGCAAACACTGAACAGGATATTTTGATCAAGTATCAGCAATATTGAGTTCAAGTGAAAAATGCCCTGGGGTTGCATGTGGTCTCTTTATAGAACATGTAGGTCTTTGGCACTTGAGAGTTATCGTTCAGAGGGGATGTGAAAGGGGGTATTCAAAGCTTGGCTTTTGGAGCGAGCACCTGTGTAGGTTGGGGCTCGGGTTGTTGTGCAAGAAAACAAAATTGAACGCACACTCGGAGTGTTTGGAGTTAGTTACCTTTTTTATTCAAAAGTAATGTACACTGTTAAAAATAATAGGGACCTCAGCTACATTTTGGTCAGACTAGGATGGAAAGACTTTTTTAATAGGAGGTTTGCGTCAACATTATCATTCTTTCTGTTCTGCTGAAACAATTCTGTGCCCGATTCTTGATGGGATTTCATCATTTTTGCACCAAAGTTTATTTCAAGCAACATTCTGGTTAATTATGTGAATCAATTTTGCTATGAACAGCAATTGGACAATGTGGATCTCCTTAGTCTTTAAAGGAAACATCTCAGAGGATATCTTATAGAGAAATATGTTTAAATAACATTTAAAATGTGATTTGATAAAGTAAACTCATAACAATATCTTTGGATACACCAAGACAGTAGAACAAGATAATATAACTTTAGAGTTGAAAAGGGCATATCAGGATTGACATCAGAAAGTGTTTCTTTACCCAGAGAGTAATAAGCATCTGGAACAGGTTATCAGGAAGGATGGTTGAGGTCAGAACGCTGAACACATTTTAAAAAACACAGCTTGATGCTGTTACAGGAAGACGTAAGATTGGGTGTTCTGGACCAAACCTGTGCATTCAATGTTAGGGATGGTGTAGGAGTGGGGGAAGGGTTCAGGAAGATTGGCCAGTTTTTTTTCCTTCCCCCCCACTCCCCCTCTTTGAAACGACAGGATGTTCACAAAGTCCTGTCTGTTACTCCCATTTTATTTCAGTGCACTGACCAACAAAAACATGTGATAAAAAGTACTTAATTGTATTCAGTACAAGTGCTTAACTGTATTTAGACGTCCTGAGGTTGATGTGAGGGCCATCATTTTCATGGCAGATAAGGATCCATCGTCATGTCAGTGCGACATCTTCCGTAACATCGATGTAGTGATGAGAACGTTACTGGTATCAGACATTGATATCAGACTCGACTCACCTGGAACAAAAAATAAAAATTCATTGTATGAAGAAAAACAGAGGGTAATAGGACTTTGTGAACATCCTGTAAAAAAGAAACCTTGCATGACAGCAGCTCAGTGCTGTCCGTGTCCTGCTCATCATGTGATGGGTGGTGGGGCATGTAGCCTAGTGTCCACTCACTTGCGTATTTGCGTTTTCGTGCTGCAGTAACTTCGTACAGAACTTTATGGAAAATATTAGTAGCCCTTTCAAAATAGCTTCTCTTTTCCAATTTTCTCTTTTCTATTTTCCAAACCTATTTAAATCAAAAGTGTGGTTTAGTTTTACACTTGATAAGTTAGTGTAAAGAAATGGACGATTTCCCAGTGTCAGCGCAGTGCACTCCCAGGTGAGTTACAGTATGCACAACGCAGTCAGAATGGATGATATGGGTCAGGGTCGGATGAATATTTCTTGAGAAGTGATGTTGAATTCAGATTTTTATAAGATTGGCGTGGCTTTTAGAGGAAAATGTAGAAAATTGGTAACCCCCTGATGTACTGCTCCTTGTATTTCATGTAAGTGCAGAATAAGATGTTAAAACAAGGTTCCGTCTGTCGTAACTATTTTGTCAGGCAAACAGCAACATTTTGCACCAGCATGGATCCACAAACAATCATAAGGTGAATGACCAATTCATCTGGAGGAATATTGGCTGGTCTACTAGGAGGAACTTTATTCTCTTTTTCAATTGCATTATTTTGGAAAAAAAATTCCACATGTGCAATTTCTTTTCATTTCCTTGAGATTTTACTACCCCTCAGATGTATAATTCCAATGTATATTTCATATAACTCCAAGGTGTTACACATTTTAAACCTTCTATTCCTTACTGAGATAGTTTACTGCGTGTAGCCATCAGTATCATAAGAGTCTCTGTTTCAATCCTTCATCTGTGCTCAGTCAGCTGAATTCTGACTGGGGCATGACAATTATCCTGATCATCTTTAGGCTATGATGGTGTGGGGTGGGGAGGCGTGTAAATGTCAGCTATATATTTGGATTTCTGATCCTAAATGCAATCGGGTGAATCCTGATGCTGAGTGAGTTTGGGGACAGGATTAGAATGTCCTTTATTGTGATGTTCCATACAGTTTAATGGCCCACAACACTAAGGAACACTGACAGCACTGCTGTGTTGCTCCTTGTATTTTGTATAAGTACACAATAACACGTTAAACTGAGGTTCTGCCTGGAGTGACTATTTGTTCAGGTAATCGGCAATGCCAGGAAGTGACTGGTACTCTTTGAGCCATTCCCCAGACAGTGCCCGCAGGAGAGAATAAATATACTTCCATTAAACCTGATTTAGATAAAATAAACAACCAATGTCTTACCTTGTGCATGTTTTACCAATGTCTTACCTTGTGCATGTTTTACCAATGTCTTACCTTGTGCATGTTTTACCAATGTCTTACCTTGTGCATGTTTTACCAATGTCTTACCTTGTGCATGTTTTACCAATGTCTTAATTTGTGCATGTTTTACCGATACCTTACCTTCTGGATGTTTTACCAATGTCTTATCTTGTGATTGGTTTACCAATATCTTATCTAGTGCATGTTTTTTGTTTGCAATAGTACCCGGGATGCAGCTGACCCAAAGTGCTCCTCCTGATATCCTCTTGGACCAGACAACACAGTCAGTCACGAGCTATCAGTCAAAGTTTGCCCTTTGCCCAGGAGATGAGCCAAACTCTATCTCAAAACCTGGGTCGGCAGGAAATAATGAAGAGCAAACAACATTGATAGCACAGGTACAGCACATGAGCTTACTCCTTGTGGAGCAGAGTCCCCATCAGTCAGGGTGATGCCAATCCAATTATCCGCAGGAGCAGTTTTGCATTGTTTACCTCCAAAGTTTCACATACTTGCCACTATTTTTGCGAAGTAGTTAAATCAGTAGCATCTCTTGATCATCTATTTTCAGAGTTTTTATCCATGGTCTCTTGTATCTTCTCATGACTGATCCACAGTTGGCATTGAGGCAACCTTCTGAAATCAAAAGCAAAACTTTTGTTTGGTCAGCTGGGTGTCTTGAAACATAAGGAAACCCATCACTATGCTTAAAAGCACCCAAAGCACCTACATGTCTGTAATGGAATGTGCACTCTCTTCATGGAAGAATGCACCCCGTTGACTGACTTCCAAAGAGAATTGGGCACAGATTGGATTGGAGACACAAAGTGTGTGTTGGGGTAACTGCTGGGGTTTAACCAGTTAAAACCGTATAGCTTGCCATTGAAAGAACGATCTGACACGTTTCCCGCTGTTTGTCCAGCGAGGATCACCCAATTCATTAGCTCTTTGGCTTGTAGGGTTAACTGCAACTCTTAACCGCAGAAATGTTTCCCACTCAGAAGAGCTGACCTCTGTGGGTTTAGTGGGAATCCACTCTCTTCTGAGTGGGAAGAATCCCTGCTCCATTGATGAGTCTGTCCTCCAGGTCTTGCTGATGGACCACGCTGGCTCTTCTGTCATCAGCAATTTCCTTGAGTACTCTGAACCCCTGCTTGCTTGTTTTCCTTTCCCCAAGAGGATAAATCAAAAACTGGAATATTATCCGGAAAAAGAAAAGTAAAATAACTTGGATTTTTTTAAAATGAACTTGAGAATGATATACCCCTGAATTACTATGATTTTCAATACTTGATGGTGAATAGACAGAGTCTGTACTTGGTTTTATTATTAGTAGTAATGTTAGAAATATTTGCAACTATCTCCCAACAATTTTAGAATGATCCGATTCCAGTTTACCAATTGGTTGAGTTAAGTCACTTTTTGTTTAGGTCAAAACTGCAGGTAATGCACAAATAAATGAAACAATAATACACAAGACGCAACAAATCATAGAGAAACATGGTCACTTTCTTACTGAAGGTAAATTCCCTTACCCCTGTACATAAACATAGATACAGTAGAATCAATATCGATTCCACTGGGAAGTGTGCTGACCCTCTACGCAACTCCAACTATTTCAAAGTTACATCGTTCTTTTATGTGTTTCTAACTCCACCTCCCCTTGTCACAGAGATAGCCCCCACCCTTTGCAGCTGGTTTGCAGAGAGAGAGATACATGGACAACTTCTGGACAGCCTTCCACAGTCTGCTTGTTTCTCAGTCTTGAGATAGGCAGGTGTCTGTAGCCTTTCCTTTCTGTGGTCCTTTGTTCTTACATCTACGCTCAAGGACCCGATTGCTCATTATCTCAGAGGATTGAACATCTTCCCAGGAAAATATGAAACATAATCAGAAGCTGACCTCAACCCGTCCAACAAAGCCACTTTTAACGATTTAACTATTAAACATTTGGAACATTCGGTTGCTATATGAAATATACCAATGTATCCTGAGGTGATAGTCAATATATTTCAACAGTAATGCTTTTGAAGGAATCAACTGTAATAAAGATGTGCAATGCAACTTGCTCATAAAGCCATTTTTGGCCAATGTGCAATATAATTGGAGTAATATCCTGTAGGATTCAGACAATATGACATTGATTGTATGAAAACATGTTCCCTGAAGCTACACTGCTTCATTAAACCCTTTCTGGGTGAGTGCTCTTAGCAATTGCAAAACTAACTAAAGTTTTTTAATGGTTGTTGTGAGATGTGAGGCTGGCTCGCACTGCTTTATAGAAAAAGATGCTGCAGTGAAATTGCAGTTCACATAACTATAGTGCAAAGGCTTGATTCTGTGGATCTGTGAATTAATGGGCATCCAATATAATGGGAATGTTGGTTTAAATGGAGCATTTATTCCGGCACCAATTCAACTATAAATAATCTGTGGCATATTTGATTAATAGGAACAGCTGAATCATCGGTATGTTTTTCTCACAACAGGGAGTGAGTCTTCCACCATATTGTATAATATGACAACTACTGCTTCTGTTTTCAGTTGTCTTGCCCAATAAAAGTATCCAGCATTTTTACTGCAAGGTGAATTTGCAGCATGTTCATTTCAGAAATCAAGACTGGGCTTTAAGCGGTAATTATACCGCTTACAGTTTCTTTTCCTGTTACTTTACCTATCAGTAGTTCAATATCTGGGCTAAGAGGCCATTTGAAATTCACAGTACCAAGTAATGTGTGTCAGATACTAAATATTGTTTTCCCCACTTTGATCATAATCATCAATAGTTTTCAGGGTGGTGACAGAATTATAAAGCATTATAAAATTATATATTGTATAAATTATACAATACAGTGGAAGACTCACTCCCTGTTGTGAGAATTAAAATGATTATAACTTCTAAATATTGCAATTGAGTATTTTGTGCCTCTATATTGCTAGTGATTATCAAAAACTATTTGGTAAACGTGAATCATTTGAAAACATGCTTTTTGTGAACGATAAAAAGGTTAAAATGGAATTGGACAGCTAGTGTTTCAATGTCAGTTTTGTACAATTCTCAATAATGCTTTTATTTAAAGTTTCAATTTTTATGGCAGTACAACAGCGTAAAGTGGCATTTCAAACTACTGTATTTGCAGATTCAGCCGAAACCCCAATCTTTACTGGACACAGTGGGGGTACCAGCGAGCTCACTTGAAGAGGAAAGACTGGGTCAGCCGGCTAGCATCCCTGACGATGATGCTGAGACAGCCAGAGTAAAAGAGATGGAGGCAAAGCTCAAAGAAACATTGCAAAATGTGGAGACAAAACTTTCTGCTGCAGAAGAGGAGAAGCTTGAAATTAAAAAGGTTTGTTGATACTTTTTGGTGATTGCCACGGGCTGCGTTGTTTCCAGAATTCTTTGAAACTTCCACGAGCTTTTGCTTAAACTCCTGTTCGGTTGCACAATATGAAAATTATTCATGAACCAACCTGGCCATAGCTCTGTGTTTTAAAAAGAATTCTGCTGTGATATACTTATTATAATTGGACCACCAATGTCTCATGCAAAAACGATGAGGTGTATAGCAGAACAGAATAGCAACTGTTCTGTATTGGAGGGTAGGGAGAGTGGCTGGGGGTCACCTACATTTAATAGCCCAGATACACCAACTTTGCTAACACTATGGAGTACATGATTTTTAAAAATATGATAATAATCCTTGCATTTGATCAGGATTATTATCACATCCATGAGAGTGTTACATAATATAGAGAATATTATTTATATAGAATAAAATATATTCTACCAGTCCATTTGGTGCAGCACAACAGTGTTTACTTGGCTCAGTTGGCAGTATCCGTTCTCACTGATGCTCCACTTTAGTCGTGGGAGAACGCTGCTTTGTCGTAGGTGCTGCAATTTCTGAAGAGTTATGAAACCAAGGTTCCACCCCCCCTGTACATATTTGAAAAGAGAATGGAGATTCTCCTGGTTTCCTGCCCAACAATCCCCCCGATAAATTGGTTATTCACCTCACTGCTGTTTGTAGGACAATGTTTTGTACAAATTATCTGTTGCATTTGCCTCCACTGTCAGTAGACTAGCCAGCAGTTACATGTGAAGCTTTTATGTGTTTTACCAGAATAGGTGCCATATCAAATACAAGATAATCATGAAGGTGAGGGTGCAGCACTTGGTTGTCTGAATTTCCAAGTTTACTGGAACTGAGTCATTGTGGGTCTCCTCCGACTGATTTACATCCCCCACGACTGGCTACTTCTTCAGGTTTATTTTAAAAAGTCTTATCATTTGTTTTGTAGGAACTTGCAGAACTGCTAGAAAAACACTCAAAGCTGCAAGAAGGGATTCTACAGGAAAAAGGTGAAGCGGAAAGATCTCACAGAGAGTACTACAGTCAGTTGCAGGTAATGCACAACCTGATCACGTGCAAAATATGAGGGAGAGAAAGTCAAGTGATTGATGGGATTTTTGAGTGCTGTTTAATAAATGAAATTTTTCGCATCTTCAATTTGCAGATGTTTTTGCAATAAAATATTGTTGCACAGCCATGACTTTCTGCAAACTTCCATCTCTCTAGTATTGCTGGTATCTTTGAGCTCCTCAGTTAAAATAGCCAGGTTAATTCAGTTCTTTGTTGCTCATTCTGGTTAGTTATCTCTCACCATTCAGTTCACCAAGTAAAGTATTTTTAACAAGCTGCTGATGTCATCAGAATCTCTGTTGAAAACTTTTCATGCTTTTTGCTTGGAGTTACTATTCCCTCTCCCAAAGATTTTGTATAGGGTATTGAATGCTCACAGCACAGACGTTGGAGATGTGTGCACCCCCTCGAGACACTGCCTTAATTCAAATCATTCTTGGAACAGATTGAAATACTGTATCGTTGCAGTGAAGAATTTGGTGCTGAAATGTTACAACAACAACTTGGATTTATACAGCGCCCTCCACGCAGGACGGCGTCTCAGAGCGCTTTACAGTAATGGATCCCGGGACCTAGCCAGGGGGAGGGGGGGAAGGTGACCAAAGGCGCAGTCGAAAAGAAAGATCTTTAGCAGAGACCTGAAAATGGGAAGGGAGGGAGCGAGACGAAGGGAGTGAGGAAAGCAGTTCCAGTGCCTCGGGGCATAGTGGCTGAAGGCATGACCGCCGAGGGCGGAGCGGAGGACTCGGGGGACGAGGAGGAGGCCAGACGCGGAGGAACAAAGGCAATGGGTACTGTTTTGAGGAGAGAGGAGGTCAGAGAGGTGGGGTGCAGAGGAGTGCAGGGACTTGAATACAAAGGTGAGGATCTTGAAATAATTTGTACAAAACAAGCTTGTTACAGCTTTAACAAGCTTATGAAATACCTTTCAGTAAAGGTATTGCAGCCTTCAACTTATGAGTGATATTTTGCCTTTGGACCAGCGTCTCAGAGCTGCCGATCTTTGGAGAGAAATTCCACTTGGGTCTAAATTACACTATTCATGAACTATTACACACCCTCCAGAAATTGACAAATACAGCTTTTATTTTGAAGTCGATATTCCCTGTTTCTTTTAAGAACTACAGAATACCCACTTTCTGGGTATTCAGACTGAAACAGACAAGTTACCAATTTTTGCACACTTTAAAATCGCACATAAATGGAGGAGAGTGGAATTTCTCCACTCTCGTTCTCGGAGTATTTTCTCCGTTTCTTTATTCCTGTCTTAATCAGATGTTACTTCTTTTGGATTTGGCTGGGTTTTGAATTTGGGATCAGTATTTTGTAGTTCAGAAGATGGTCTGTTGAACTACCATGTTTGCTGTTTTAATAATCCTTGCATTTGATATCGCGTTTTTCACGTCTTCTAGACGTCCCAAAGCGCTTCACAGAATATACTGTAACGTGAATTGACTGCATATTTGTGGGCGAATGCGGCAGCCAATTGCGCACAGCAATGTCCCACAAACAGTCATGGATTGAAAATGACCAATTTATTATTGTTTTGTTTTTTTGGAGGGATTATTATTCGGCGTGTGGAGTAAGGAAACTTGCCCAAGGTTTCGCCCTGCCTGGAATTGAACTCAGGTCTCTCATTTGCAAAGTGAGTGCTCTAACCACTGAGCTACAGGACTCCACAGGTCTTGCTGCAAGAGGTGTTCATTCAGTCCCATTCCTCTTCTCTCTCCTTCCTTAATTTGTTATTCATGTTAGGAAATGTAATTAAGCTCTTGAGGTGAACAAGCTATCTGACTTTGATGCAGTGCTTTATCTCGTAGAAACGTCTCAAGCAGTATTCTGCACAATAAGCTTCTTTATAGTGTGATGACAGTAATAATAATAAATAATAATCCTTGCATTTGATATAGCGCCTTATCACGTCTTTGAGATGTCTCAAAGTGTTTCACAGAATATACTGTAAAGTGAATTGACTGTATTTTGTGGGTGAAACGTGGCAGCCAATTCTGCACAACAGTGTCCCACAAACAGTGAGGATTGAGTGACCAAATTATTATTATTTTCTTTTGAGTGAATTATTATTCCCAGAAAAGCGATCCGCCAATCGACTAACAACCGAGTTCCTACTTACTTCTAGGTTAGCAGAGGCATATGGAGAGAGGAAACTTGCCCAACAATCTGTATTTGTTGAATTTGGATGAGGGAGATATATTGGCCAGGACAGCGGGTGAACTTCCTTATCTTCACAATAGTGAAGGAGATCTTTAATATTCACCTGAACCACCAGAAGAGACAGATTTCAATTTAATGTTCCATCTTATGGAAGTGCCTCCAACACTGCAGCACTCCCTCATCTCCAGTGTCAGTGTCAGTATACCTAGTGAGCTCAAAAACTGGTATGTACCATCTCATTTAGAATCAAGGGTACTACCCATCAGGCAAAACCGAGAAGATTGATTTATGTAGAAAATATTTCTGTTCTCGCGGCAGTTCTTTTTCTCCAACCTAAAGTATATCTGTAAAAAAAATAATACTTGTAAGGTGTCCTTCAGTTTATTCATAAGCGCTCTGGTTTTTAAAAGGAAGTTAAGATACTAACCAATTAGGGGCACAAAGCCAAAGTGAAACAAAACTCCAAATGGTTTTTGGGCATTGGCTTAGTTGTACCTTTTTATAAATGGAGTTTGTGACCACTTGTAACATGATGTACATTGAAACCCTCAAACCCCAAAGTTGGCGCTGTGCCAGATTTTGCTTGTACACCTTTTCTCAATGTTGTATGTTTAGCCTTTCATCTGGGGGAAGAGAAGGAAAGAGAGGGGCAGGGAGGAGGAAAAGCCATTCCTGATGCCAAATGTGCAGTTTGAACCAGACTAGATATTGTTGCGGTCCAGTATAAATCTGAACAGGAATCCCCTCCTCGCTCCCTCCCTTCCCTCCCCTCACCCTGACCATTTCCCCCCTCCTTGCTCCCTCCCTTCCCTCACCCTGACCATTTCCCCACTGCTCGGGTCATGACCCAACTGTGCAGCGCCTTGGGACGTCCTCCTGACGTGAAAGGCGCTTTATAAATGGAATCTTGTTGTTGTTGTTATAAAGGCGTGACTCAGAAACATGAAAATGAATTCTTGGCAGCCCGCTACATTCTATAAAAGTTGTGTTTTTCCTCAGCACATTTTCAGACTATCGACTTGTTCATCCTTCAGTGGAATTATGATCACTTGCTGAAACAGTTTTGTTGTTTTGTGCCCAGACCATGGAATTCTCCGTGATCCAACCCACCATGACCCAACTGTGCAGCTCCTTGGGACGTCCTCCTGACGTGAAAGGCGCTTTATAAATGGAATCTTGTTGTTGTTGTTGTTGTTCTCAAGGGCATGTCTGTCTGGTAGATTGAGTTTATTGACAGGATTTGATGGGCATTCGATATGCTTCAGGTTTTACATCATTTGGAATTGTTTTGTGGAATAGTAATTCTTGAGGATGATTGATAGACGGATGGGGCAGGGAGTTTCTTCTGGCCAGTTTTGAGCTTCCGGTCTGTTCAGCTCTGCACACCTAGGGGTTGAAGTATCAACAGTTCCAAAGAATAAAGTTCCTCATTCCTGCTTTTCACTCGTTGTCATTCTGAATACAGATATCTTGGTGACCACTGTTAATTCAGTGACAGATGGACACCAATTTAAGAGAGTTTGCAAGGGAGCAAACGGAGATTAGGAAGACTTTTTTTTGCACAGTTGTTAGAATTTGGAATGTCTCTCGGGTGTGGTGGTTAAGGCAGAATCCATATTAGCTTTTGAGAGAGAAATAGGTAGCTATCTGAAGAGGAATAATCTTGGTATGGAGAAAAGGCAGGTAAATGCGACTAACCAGTTTGCTCTTTCAAAGAGCCAGCACAAACATGACATGACCTGCTATTGTATAAATGTTTATGGTTCCACTTTACCAGTGTCAGCTTCCAGCATGCCATTTTCCAAGGCAAAATAGGATGTGGCAATTCCTCACTGCTTGTCTTTCCCTCCTTTGTTTTCCCCTTCTCACAGTGCAAAATGTGTGCTTCATTGTTGAGGAATTACTTTTCTAAAGTTCTAGTTTGAAAAGTTGGCTCATGAGGATGGACTTATTTGAATACTCTCAAGGTGAGGAACGGATGTGTGAAAGGGAAAGAAACGAGCCTCTTGAAATGCTTCACCCATTTTCCCAGTATACAACTTACTGAGGTACTGGGAATCTTAGAGTTCATCATGCAAAAGGCTCTTGAGGTTGTGAAGTTGATCTCATTCTGGTGCTTTGTTATGCTCCACTTTATCTTTCAGTGTCATCAGCCTGTCTCTCATTTCCTCATCAGTGATCACTTTTTCGTAAGATAATTTCCTCATCTTGCAAAAAAACTCAACCTCTGCGTTGGGTCGGCTTCTTCTGTGAACATACACAGAAATGCTTCTTCATGTTCTCCCTGGTCACACAACACTAAACCTGCGTGAGATTGTCTACTTACTGCTCAAATTCTTATTTATGATTTGAACTCTACTGACCTGCTGCTTATCCTTTCTTAACCTGCTGAATCCAGTTTGAATTAAATTTGTATTTTAATTCCTGAGAAAAGTTTTATATTGCCCTTATCCCCTGAGATACTTTCCCTTGTGTTCAAAAAAAAAAACATTGGTACGTGGTTACGACACAGCATTGAGATCTTGACAAAATTTAGTTTTTCCTTTGAACTTTTCTGGTATAAATTGTTTGAGTCCAGCTCCATTCTGGGGAAAAATTCTGGTTAGCATCAGTCCTATGTCAATGTTGGCCCCTAGTGGGATTTCCCATTATAATAATAATCCTTGCTTTTGATATAACACATTATATATTGATATACACATTACAGTGTGTTCTGTGAAGCGCTTTGGGACGTCCTCCCGATGTGAAAAGCGCTATACCAAATGCAAGGATTATTATTATTATCACGCTGTCAAAACGTCTCAAATAGCCTCACAGGATATACTATATAGTGTAGAGACCGTGTATTTGTTTTGTATTGCCAAATGCTCGGCAGAATGTTTTTCCTGTAGGTCTTTCCCCATCCCCTCCAATATCCACTTCCTCAAGTCAAGAATCTTTGTGGGGTTCCTCCCAATTCCTGCTGTAAACCTGTCTGAGTCAGAAGATTTTGGGTACAAGCTCCACCTCTGAACTTTATAATATATAATAAAAATCCTCACATTTCATATAGTGCCTTATCACGTTATTGAGATGTCTCAAAGTGTCTCACAGAATAAATTGTAAAGTGACTTGATCATATATTTTGTGGGCAAAACACGACTTTGTGCTCATCATTTTAGTTGATACTCCAATGTAATCCTGATGGAGCATGACATTGTTGGAGGTGCCGTTCTTCAGACGTCTGTTCCAGTGGATGTTAAAATATCATGGTGGCACAATTCAAAATGAGAAGAGTTTCTCCTGGTGTCCTGAATAGTTCTCAGAATGGATAACATTTAGTTACTGTCTTCTTTTGAATCAAAGATCTGTCAAAGAACTACAGACAAACAACCAAATTTAAGACTGAATTCAACAATTCTGTAGGTTTTAATTTGTGACTTTAATAGAGTAAATCTTGACCCAGATGAAAGTTTATCCCATATGTGACTCTGGCAACTCTTCATTAACTTCAAGAATGCTCCTTTAGGAGATGGAAAGGACGAAAGAGTAAGTGCAGTGATTGCGTGTTAACAGTTGAGAAAATAAAGCCTTGGTTATTGAACTACAAGTCTCTAAAATATACGCAGGATGTATCAATCAATTTCTTTTCAATGTACCTGCTGTGAATGCAGGAAACCAATGAACTTAGTTCCTTGGGAACACAACGTGTCATATGGGTATTTTTCTAACCAAATGTAGGCAAATATCCATTATTGCATTGGAACAATAGCAAAGCTCTTGGGAGGAGCACGCTGCAAGTGTAAGTGGAGCAGGTAACCAGCGTACCTTGCATCTGCTCAATAACTAACAATTGAAACAGCAGTAACTCCACATGCTGCATATGTCCTGGCAGTCAGACCTGTACATCTAGATCCTGGATTCTTAACAATTCAAGCAGTCAGATCTACATGTATAGAAACTGGACTCTTCCTATTCCAGCCGTCAGGTTGTGCTCTTCCTGGCCAAGATTTGTTTCTTTGCTATTTCTTATTGTAATTTTTAAAAATTAAATTCATGAAGAGCCATGTGCTTGCTTGCTTGCCTTCTGATGCAGTAGATTTGAGAGGAGGACTTAGTCAGCCCAATGGGGATTTGGGAGGGTCCTTTGTTGCAGTGTGCAGGTGGACAGATGAAGGTTTTCCAGTTGACCAATGGTTCATATTGGAGTTTGAAAGGGTTAGAGTGTTGTGCAGTTCTGTGCCTGGCCAGATACAGGCCTCAAATGGCCATGCGCCTTGACTGAAGCAGATGCTTGCACCTAATTTAATATGGACAAAGGGCAGACTGCATATTTGTTTACTATTCTCATCTGATCCAATTCTTATTACGAACACCAAATTTGGCCTTGGCCTTGGATTTCCAAACAGGCTTGAGATCCTTGTTGAAAAAAGCATGAAGTGGTTTCAGAGCTGGACTCTGTACATCTTTTTGAAAATAAATCTTTTTCTTCCATCTACTACTCCCTCCCCAGATCCCCCTCTCACCACATCCTTCCCTGTAAAGCTTAGAACCTGTCTCCCACTCCTCTCTCATCACCATTATAACCCGCATGAAACCGACCACCTGCTCCCTCGACCCCATCCCTACCCCTCTCCTTACCTCCCAGCTCCACCTCCTTGCCCCTCTATTCACAGACATGATAAAACTCTCCCTGTCCACTGGTACTGTTCCACCCCTTTAAACACGGCCGTCATCATTCCTATCCTTAAAAAAAAAACCCTCCCTAGACCCATTCCTGCTTTCAAACTACCGCCCCATCTCCAACCTCCCTTTCCTTTCCCAGGTCCTGGAATGAGTCGTTGCTTCCCAGCTTCGCTCCTTCCTCTCCCGCCACTCCCTTCACGAACCCCTCCAATCAGGTTTCCGTGATGTCCACAGCACAGAAACGGTCTTGGTCAAAGTGACAAATGAAATTCTGTCTATCTGCGACCAAGGCTCCCTCTGCCTCCTCGGCCTCCTTGACCTCTCTTCCGGCTTTGACACCATTGACCACTCTAGCCTCATCCACCGCCTTTCCTCTCACCTCAACCTTCACAGTTTTGTCCTTGAATAGTTCAGATCGTACCTCTCACACCGCCTCCACTTCATCTCCACAAATGGTTTCGCCTCTAGCCCCCACACCATCTTGTGCAGCATTCCTCAGGGCTCTGTTCTCAGTCCCCTCCTCTTCAACATCTATATGCTCCCTCCTGGCAACATCATCCGCCGACATAGGGTCAACTTCCACATGTATGCAGATGACACCCAACTGTACCGCTCTGCCTCCACCCTTGATTCCAAGGCCACTGCTGTCATGACAGAATGTCTGTCAGACATCAAGTCCTGGATGAGAGCTAACTTTCTTCAGTTGAACGTCAACAAGACCAAGGGTCTCCTGATTGGCTCCCGTCAGCGCCTCCACACCTCAGGCGCTCACAGCTTCACCATCCATAGTTGCACACTCCTTCTTACTAAGCCAGTCCAGAACCTTGGTATCTTATTTGATCCTCAACTATCCTTTCTATCCCATGTATGCTTGAGCATAGTCAGTGAGTCCACCTTCGTAACGTCGCCCGACCCCGCCACGGCCTCACACCATAACATCGAGGTTTGACTATGCAAGTCTTTGCTTGTCGGCCTCCCCAACTCCTCCCTCCATAGGCTGGAGGTCATCCAGATCTCTGCAGACCGTGTCCTCTCTCGTAGCAGGCTCCGTGACCCTATCACCTCCATCCTCACCCAACTCCACTGGCTTCCCATCACTCAGCGGATACAATTCAAGATCCTGGTCCTCACGTTCAAAGCCCTTCATGGCCTTGCTCCCCCTTACCTCTGCCACCTCCAAAGCCCCTACCATCCTGCCCGCTCCTTCCGCTCAGCATCCCCTGCTAGTCCGCCCCACCATTGGTAGGCAGTCGTTCTGCCACTCTGCCCCCACCCTTTGGAACTCCATCATGCAGTCCCTCCACCTCGACCCCTCCCTTGCCTCCTTCAAGACCCATCTCAAGATCCTCCTATTTGACCGTGCTTTCAATCACCCTGCTTTCCCCACTGTCCTCCGCCCTCCCCAATCCCGACACCCAGCTTGGGTCCGAAACACTGACTGTCCAGCACCTTGGGACATCCTCCCGATGTATAGTGAAGGGCACTATACAAATGTCATTTTATAGTTATTGAAAAGAAATTTTTTGAAAAGAAATCTTCTTTAAAAAAATCTTTTTGAATAAAACTGAAGATGTTCCCTCACTTTATAACTATCCTTCTTGCAAGAAATTGTCTTATTATTGACCTTTTAATGTTATAAAATGAAAACTCAGTCAGGAAGGACATTTCATGGGTTTTTGTGGGACATGGCAGTGTGCAAATTGGATGTTGCATTGCGTTTGCTTATGAAACAGTCACTATTTTAGATAGTAGTTATAAATGAAGCATTTTGAGATATTTTGATTTCATGAAAACTATATCAAATACAAGGATTATTATTATTATTGACTTTGTAAATTTATAAAGTGTGATTGTGTTTGTTTGCAGGACAAACACAAGCAGGAACTAGAGGACCTGAGAAAAGCCGGGCACATTGCCCTGAACATTATCGTTGAAGAGTTCAAGGTTAGTGATATGGCTTTTGAAACAAAATTTTCCCCCTTTTTCGAAGCAAAGCAAATCTCGGTGATGTCCAAAACTGTGGCCATGTGAGTACATTTACATTGGGCAATTCAGTGCAATGGGCGATTCAGTACTCTGACTGGTACTGTCAGAGTAATAGTTCCAAATATGTGGAATCTGAGTTGACTGGGAAGAAAAGGGAGGGAAATATGTCATAATGTAATCTTAGTCCTGTTTACGATCATAGTGTAGGACCACATGCTTGAATCTCAGCTAGAAGATACACAACTAACATTCAAACCACTTTGCGATGGCACGAGTGGACGTTTTTCCCTACACAGGTGAATGAATGGAGATATTTAATGCTGCAGGGCTAATTTCATTGCTCATTTACTTGACATTGGTTGGTGTCAAGGTTTCTCCCAATAAATACATGAATTAGGAGTGAGGCATGAGGAAGCACCATTCATGTCATAAGGGGACAGGATAAACTGCACCTGTACCATACTCAAACATAAGGCTTATTTGGAGGTAAGCTGAAGGAAGGCAAAGATTTTCTTCTGGGATTTTGAAAGTTTACATGGAATAATGTACATATTTCACAGGCACCATCTCTTTTGTCGAGGTGGTCTTTCTCTTGTAACTGCCTCTTCGTAGAGAAATGCAGTGGCATTTCATTTGAATATAGGTTGTTGTGGTTCCAAACGAGCAACAGAAAGCAGGTTTCCTTCAACAACTACATTGTGTCTGGTTGACAGCTTTCCTTGTTCTTTTGTTTCCCAACATCCATCTTAGAATTGTTAGGATTTTCTGACAGGTATTTTGACTCCATCTGGAAGGTGGCACTAGCAGAAGATAATAATAATAATCCTTGCATTTGATATAGCGCCTTATCATGTCTTTGAGATGTCATAAAGTGTTTCACAGAATATACTGTAAAGTGAATTGATTGTATATTTAGTGGGCGAAACATGGCAGCCAATTGTACACAACAGTATCCCACAAACAGTTGTGGATTGAGTAACCAAATTATTTTGTTGTTGTTGAAGTGATTATTAACCCTGCAAAATGAATCACCCATCGATTAATAACTGAGTTCCTACTTACTGCTAGGTAAACAGTGGTATATGGAGTAATGAAAAATAAGGTTTTGTCCCGCCCGGGAATCAAACCTGGGTCCCTCTCGTTTGTGAGGCGAGGGCGCTAACCACTAAGTTACAAGACTCCACAATGTATATCTGGAGGGAGTTTCTAGAGGTCAACAAGAATTATAATGGGATTCCTTATTGAAGGATACAGTTAGGAATTAATGATCAAAATCCTTGCATTTGATATAGCACCTTTCACGGCAGGAGGACATCTAAAATTGATTCACAGAATTTACTATAAAGTGGCGTCATCACTGTATTATGTAGGTGAACGCAGCAGCCAATTTGCACACAGCATTGTCATTTAAAACGGCCATGAAGTGAGTAATCAATTTTATTTTGGGGAAGTTAGTGGCCTTCTGTTTTCAATTAGTGCCATGGGATCTTTAACATCCACTACAACAGGCATATGTGATGGGGTTTAGTGTCTCATGTGAAAGCCAGTATCTCCATCAGTCAGCACTGCATTGGATTGTCAGAGAAAACTGTGAATTCAAAGTCCTGATGTGGGGCTTGAACCCACAATCTTCTGATTTGAATCTGAGAATACAACCACCTGAGCCAGGCTGACAAATCTGACCCCGATGTGTGAATGGAGTTGAAATTGTAGTAGTGTTGACTGCACAAATAGTACTATACATTCAGAAAAGATAAATTTTAAGACTGCGAATGGACTGACTTTAAAAAACTGCTGGTCTGAAGTCAGATGTGAAAATACTGAATTAAAGTATTAAACATTATTTTTCAAAAGTTCCAATGATTTGTTACAGGCAGATAATTTGCTTAATGGCACGCATAGATATTTCAGTTAGTTCCTGGAAAGAACAATTTTGAAGAGGTACAGTCACTCTTGCAGGATGCATTTGGCCCAGCTTGGTTCCTGGAATCGCTCACTCTAAGATCCCATTTCCACAGGCACTGGGAAACTTTCCACCACAGCAGATGCCATACTTAACAAAGGGAACCTGTTTGTATTGGAACAGATAGATAGCAGACGGGCTTTCAGCCTATACCCCCACTCTGGTATTCCATCTTAGAGTCGCTTGTTCCATCTTAAGACTTCTCTCTTTCCCTTCTCACCCACAGCTCAGGGGCCCAAGTGATATTGTTAAGCATCATGGGCTGTCCTGACATGAAAGGCGCTTTATAAGTGTAAATTTTTGTTGTATCTGTGACTCTCATACTTTTGTGCGACCCTGGCGAAACAAAGTCTGACAATGCCATGAGGACCCAGGGTTGAATCGGACAAATAAATAAAGGTTACAGCACAAAAGGAGGCGATTGGGCCTATTATGTCTATGCACGCAGTGCTCTCTGCCGATAGGATCTGGCGACTGGAATCTCTTTTCCCAACTGTTTCCCCATATCCTTTAGTATTGTAACTCCTGAATCAGCATTGATTAAGATTGCAAGGTCTTGTTGAGGTTATAAGTCTCTTGTCGCTAATATGCAGATTAGCTGCTGAAAGTTCCTCATTTTCACAAGAAATGTCTCAGGAAGGAACCTCTGGCCACTTGGGTACTGGAATGTACTGAAAATGAATACATTTCTTCTCATGCAGGTGTAGCTGGAATTCAAACCTGAGTGTGCTTAAGTGCCTTAAATTGCTGACTTGTGACGTCAATGAGTTAAGAGTCATAATTAAAACTAACTGATGAGTAACTTCCTGCCCTTGGCTTCAAGAATAAAGTGGAACAAACCAGGAGGAAATTAGTATTGCTGGACTTTGTTTGTTCATTAAGTGGTTATTATCTTCCAGCGCTATAAACTGGGAAATCATTTTTTTGTCAGCCGGATATCTGACGTATATGGAAGTTCATCAGAATACTTAACAGTATCCAAACCAGATTGAATTCTGCATTTGTTTGTCATCTATAGATGGAAATGTCTGGGATGGAATGCACACTCTCCCAAGAGGGACATACCCTGCTAGTCTAATCCTGTAGTGTTTTCGGTGCAGGTTGGCAAAAGACAACATTAGAAAGGTTAACTTGATAAGTATTTGAAGAAAACAATGCACTGGGAATTGGGATTACCAGCAGAGAAGCTCACATAGCAAGGCCTCCCTAACACTGGAGAGTATTTAGCACAAATTGGCAGTAGCCAAAGCTTGGGGACCTCAGAGTGTACGATGGGGTACTGCTGGAGCTTACACACTGCAATTTACACACTACAATGTGCAGCAAACAAATACAAAATGAATGGCCAATTTTATTTGGGGATTTGTTGGCCCAGACCTCAGGAAAACCTTGTTCTCTTTTCAAATAGGGTGATAGGATCTTTAATGTGCATCCGAACAAGCAGACGTGACTTCAGTTTCATGCTTATGCTGTGTTGTGATTGTTTGTGATTATTGTGAAGTTCTATATTTCTTGTTGGTCAGCCAGGTGTCTGACACATGTTGAAAAACGTCACCATGCTTATCCAAAGCACACTGAGAATTCCATGCACCCACCTACACATGGAAATTCCAGAGATAAGTTGTTGGAATGCAATGCATACTCTCTCCCTGGAGGGACACATTCTGCTTACCTAATTCCGGAAAGTATTAGGTCCAAGTTGGCAAGAGCCAAGGCTTGGGGACCCCACAGTGTGTGTTGGGGTAGCTGCTGGAGTCTAACCAGCTAAAATCGCATAGCTTGCCTTCCATAGCACTATCTGGAAAGCTTTCCCATTGCTTGTCCAGCTACAACCACTTTATCTATTAGGGCTTGCAGGGCTAAAAGGAGCTGCATGGAAGTTTCCCTGCCCCCAGTGATTGGTCCGCCCTTCCAAGTCAAGCTGATGAGCCAGGCTGGTTGTGCTGCCACCAGCAGTGCCCTGGAATACTGTGGGCCCACAGAGGGCTGGCTCGATTCCCACATTCCATTGTCAGGCATGTCACCTTGGATCCAGTTGAGCTCCAAGGAGATCCCACTTACCTCCCCCCAAGGAGGATAGAAACTAGTTGGTCATTCAACATCCAAAAAGCGCAGGTTTGAGCCCTCACTAGGTGAATGGTAGATACCAGAAATTCCCTGCGAGCTTCCCGATGGGCAACAGATCTCAGTATGAAATGCCCGAGAGCAATGCCACCAAACGCAAGCAAGCGAGCGGCGAGGTCAGACGTGAGGAAGCGAGCGGTGAGGTCAGGAGCGACCAGAGCAGAGACCTCGGATGAACCAACGAGGAAGAGGGGGCGAAGGTTTCAATGTTCCAGGCGAGGAGGTTCCAAGCATTGAGATGCCATTTCAAAATCTCCTGGACCAATGGCTGAAACATCACTTCTGGACGCCGTTTTTCAAACCTAAGTATTTTTTTCATTTTTCCCTAACCATTTCATTTTTTTTCCCTTTCCTCTTCCCTGACCTCCTCCTTTGCCATCCCTTCCACCATCTCTCTCCCTCTGGCTTTGTTCCAAACAAAGATATGAGCACCTTCCCCCTCTCTCCCCTCTGTGCTGTCTCCCCTAGCCCCCGCCATGCTTGTGGGCTGACCACCTCCCACTAAATAATCCCTCCAAAAAAACCAAACAATAATAAATTGGTCGTTTTCAATCCATATGACTGTTTGTGGGACATTGCTATACGCAATTGGCTGCCGCGTTCGCCCACAAATATACAGTCAATTCACTTTACAGTGTGTTCTGTGAAGCGCTTTGGGATGTCCTCCCGACGTGAAAAGCGCTATATCAAATGCAAGGATTATTATTATTATTATTATTATTATGCTTTGCTCCCGGTCTCCACGTGCACGTTTTGGCTGCCACTCCTTCTGAGCCACCCCCTCCCCCCCCCCCCCCCCGCCCCCGAAAATGCTTCCCCTTCTACTCCCCACACTCTACTACTACAACAAGATTGCATTTATAGAGCGCTT